TAATAATAATAATAATAATAATAATAATAATAATAATAATAATAATAATATTAATAATAATAATAATAACATAAGTATATATTATAATAATACAAAAAGGCTTGCTATAAGTAGCAAAACATTAGCCAAAAGCCAGAACTAGAAAAAGGCTACAGTAGTTAAAAGTAGAAAAATGCTCACTAAAAAGCTAAATGTGCCAAAGTTCTATCTAGAAGCAGTAAAATAGCTGTAAGCTAAAGTAGCAAAAATCTAGTTTAAAGCTAAAAGTAGCTAAATGACAGCTAAAATATCAACAGGTCAGCTAAGAGCCAAATGTTTTAAAATGCTAACTAAAAGCAAAAAGTAATAAACTGATAGCCAAAGACCGAAAAGTAACAAAATGCTAGATAAAAGCTAATAATAGCAAAATAGTAGCTAAAGTTAACAACAGCATTAAAAGAAAAAAAAAAATAGAGCAAGTAGAAGATTTCAAAAAGATCAATGTTTTTGAACAAACTGAAGAGATCTCATTTTCTTTCTGTGGGTAAAATATTTGTAAAAAAAAAAAAAACAATTTTGAAAAATATTAGAAATTGCACAATCAAAAGTCAATGCACCCATTTCCTGAATGAGCTGAATGTTTTTGACACACAAATGAGTAAAACAGCACAAAGTATGCAAAAATAGATTGCAAATAACATACAGAAAAATTGAAAACACAAAAACAATCGTCTGAATGCTGAATCAGCATTTTAACAAATGCAGCCCAGCTACATTATGTGTTCAGTGTAATTAGCTTTTATGAAAACCAAGATGTGACAAAAGACAACACTCATTTGACTGAAACCTCCAAACATGCTGCGTTTATGAGCAGCAATGACGCTCGCCCACCTGCTCCAGTGCATACGTGTCTCTGGAGCAGGTGTCGAGGATGTGGACCCCCAGAGAGATGCCCGGCAGCAACGCGCTGTCCGAGTTGATCCGGTCTATGGCAAACAGCATGGCCTCCAGCCTCTGGATCCCCCTGTCCTCGTTCACACGACCGCACTCCTCCATTCCACTCCCTTTCTCATGCACCGGAAACAAGCCGCCGAGCACCAGGTCGCCTTCGATGCGGATCTCGCGGCGTGACTGTGTAGGGTCTGCGAGCAAGGCGCCCTGACACATCATAGCCAAGACTAATGATGGTAGGGGGGACACCATGTTGGGCTCAGGTAGTGCTGGGATGGTTAGAATGTGAGAGGAGATCCAACGGAGAGTGAGGGGCGGAGGGTTGGAGTTAGGGGTGAGGGGTGAAGAGTGAGGTGTTCGGACAAAGGTGGGGTTGAGTCAAGCAGCAGGAGCGGGTGTCTGAGTCGGTCTCTGGTCCATGAAACAGTCAGGTAGTGCTGAGCTGGACCACACACGGAGGGGCAAACCATCTGGGCATCGATTCTCCTTGAAGGTAAAAGACAATAAATGTACATTTATTCCATAGTGCATGTTATGGGACAAATTACAAAGCTGTTTGGAGCTGCTCTGTGACATCTTTCATGTTTGCACTCTGAAATATAATCGACCTTTGGCGGGGTTTGGGGACGTTGTTAACAAGGGCTCAAAGTTGTTTCTGCTTCACAGAAAAAGCCCAAAGACTGCAAGGGGTATAGAACTGAGATTGTATGCTACAATTCTTCCTCCTACCCATATCACTCGGTAAACTTTTTTATTGAGTGTGTGTGTGTGAGCCCTGGTTGTATCAGGATAAGCTTCTTAGATGGCTGCTTGATACACGAGCCCAGCCTTCTCTTGCCACAGATCAGAGGAGCTTCTCTAATCTGATCCCACTCCCAGCGTTTCCCCATTGTCCATGACTTTATACCCCTACGTTCATGCGAGTATGTCTGTGTTATTGTATTTATTGCTCCCTCTCTACGCTGCATAATTAGTGCGGAGTCTGAATGGATTTTTACCATGAAAGACGCTGACAACATCTGACAACAACAAGGCAGAGAAAAGCTGATGCTACTGATTATGACTTATTAATTAAAAGAATGTTGCGGTTGCTTTTTTCCCCCTTAAGCACTCTCCATTGTTATTTTTGGACAAGATAGGATAAAAATGACTACAATAGGATGTAAATTTAAACATCCATTCCAACGGTGCATTTTACAGTTACTTGTCATGGACAGTAGAAGTCAAGATGGTGCGCAATTTTATGACTCAGGGAAAAATTGTGCCAGATTTGGCAGGACTCGAACATTAAGTGAGGTGGAAAAGTTGCGCTTCTTTATGTTCATACAGGTTAAGTAGCATTTTTTGGGGGAATTTCTTAATTTTATTCTGGAAGGAGTCACATTTTCAAAAGGAGAAAGAAAATTCCGATTACAAAATCATCTAAGGACCTAATCTGCAGCACAAAGTCAGCTCTCTGTGAAACACCTGTTGACTGCTGGCTTGTGTTTGTGTGTTAGAGCAATGGTTCCCAAAGATGGGGTCAGGAACTTATTTTGGAGTTCTGAGATGATTTCTAACGTATTTGGTTGTTATTAAGGTCTTGTTTAATTGACTAATAGCAGTTGTCTGTTAATTTGTGGGTCAGAAGATGAAAAGTTTGGGATCGACTGAGTCAGAGCAAAGAAGTGTCTGAAGTTTGGTGGGAAGGTAGACGGATGAAAGCTTTGCTTAGCAGCTCAGATTTTTCTGCAGGCAGCTGCTCGTACTTTTACCACTCTGCTCTTTAATATGACACACAGATAAACACACACAGACACACTCTGACCAACACACACTCAGTTCACACAGACACACATGCACATACACACAACCTCTGCTTCTCTAAAACCTAAAAGCAGACTCTCTCTATGATTTGGCTTCATTTTCTCCCATCCAACAGTATTCTGTTTAATGGTGCACAGAGTCTGTGATAAACAAACAAACAACAACAACAAAAAAGTTTGAAAAGTGTGACATTAAGTTTGTACCATAAATAAAAACATGCTGTATATGATGTGATTTATTTAAAGGGGCATTTCACTAATTATACTTACCTAAAGATGCTTTTGCCTGTCAAATGCAGATTTGAGATCAGCTGACATTGATTTCTAAGTTATCTCGTTGCTTTTTAAAATGTTTTTGAGATGACACTGATGTCAAATAAAACAAACATATACATCTTCAAGCTTTCATACACTCTAGATACAATTTTTTTATTTATTCAAAGGAGTAATGTTCACATACATAAAAAAAAAATCTTTATAGTAAACTCTTTAAATGCTCCTTATTAGAGGCTTTTTATGAGACAGACACCAAAGAGATTTTCACTGAGGACAATATAACAGAAGTTCATTTGATTTGGATATATTGTATCTGTTTGTGCCAAATATTTGTGCATAGATGCGTGTATTGCTGCATATTGTACGTGTAGAAAACTAAATCTGTAAGTTTCCTTCAAGTCTTATGACAGCATTTTTTATGACTGATTGAAATCCCAGCATTCATGCACTGCTCCCAAGGCATTTGCTTCATTATAACTTGAGTCGGGAAAATGTCCAGGCACAGGTTTTTCTTTCAAGTGTAACATTACAAACAAAATGCACAAAGTGAAACTGGTAAAATAAAATGAAATAAATAAACAAAATCAATTAATTTATGTTTTTAGTTACACGAAATATGTGCGAGCAGGAGAGCAGGTACTGTATATTTGAATCATGTCAAGTTTTTTTTTATTGGATAGAAAATTATTATTTGTACAGTTATTGCTCCTTTGTAGAGTACTGTCAGAAAAAAGTTTTCAGTTTGTCAGACATATTTCATTTCATGAAGAGAACCAGGTCTTT